ATCTACTAACATTTTCATCCCTCATTTTTGTCCAAACCCTGCTTGTGGCTTTCCCTGCTTTGTTGCATTTCCTTCTGTTTGTGAATTAATGATGCTCAGGATGCTGCTCGGCCACATTTGCTGCCTAAGTATCTGCTTTCTGACATCTGTGTCTCAGGACATGCTCAGAGGCCCCAAGATGCTTTAAATCTCCTTAACGGCCCCCATGGGAGATCTGCCCAGTGTCCTTTGTTTCCCATGAGAAGCAGCAGTGGACATTATTAGACTGTTTCGCAAACTGTAAGGAGGAGGATATCAAAAGAAATTGTGTTCTTAGTAAAGCATCTTTCTAAGAGGAAGGTGAAGAGGGTAGAGCGGAAATGGGTGCGGAGGAGAAAGGTAAGCTTCTTTTTATGCCTTTTATATGGCATAAAAAGTTCCCCTCTCTGATCAGCCTCTGTCCTCACTGTTATATCTGTCTGGGTCATGATGCTATGGCTGGCACATCAAACCCAAGGCCCTGCCACCCTCTCCATGTGTTACTTGTCTTGATTGCTGCCTAGAGCTTGGGTGTGGGGACTGTCAGGGGGAGGGGATGTGGAGTTGGCACAGGGCTTCTCACTGGGAATGTCTATCTCCACCCTCGGTGGAGTTTCGGACGTGAGGAGGAGGAGGCTGTCAACAATAATAAAAACTTGCAGAGCCTGTTTCTCTCCCATCTTGGAAAGAGAACATAAGACATTGGCATGGGGAACAGAGCCAATAACAGGCCCATTGCTAGAGCGCTGGGCTCTTCTGGGCTCCTATTTCATACTGTTACCCAGAGAATCAGGGTTTCACTTCTACAGCTAGGCTTAGAGAGTTGGCCCAAACATCACAGCATCTCAAAAGCTTCAGTGATGGCTCAGTCAGGATGGGTCACACAGGTCACAAATAGTTCACCAGCTCTGTGGCCTCTCCTTCACCAGCATGTAGCCATGGCAGGAGGACACCATGACTTCTAAGACCAAGACTTCGAGCTCAGTGACAGAGGGTATATTATATGGCAGCCCCACCCTTGAATACCTTTTGTGATGTGTCACCCCTTCTTGTCTCAGTGGAACCCAATTGGCTGTCGGGAGGCCGTTGAGTTATTATGGAGAGCTCAGTGAGGTTGTAGAAGCATACTTTCTACACTTCCCAGCCCCCAGAAGCTTGCTGCTTTCTGGCCCTGGTCTTGACAGGAGGCTTGGTAGTAAAGAAGGCAGACTTTCCCACCCTTAGCCTAGAATGGAATCAATCAATCTCTCTCCCCCACCCCCTCTCCCGTCTCTTGTCTATATGACCAGTGTGCTGACTCCCCAGTCTACACAACTATTCTATATTTGTCTGGCAAGTGCCACTGAGAGTGAAGACTGAGGTACTAGTGCCTTCAGTCCAGATGTCAGATTCTTGACTTGAAATATTGGCAGGTGCAGTATGGAGACTAACATCAGCCAAGAACACTAACGTGCTCTTCTTCCTGGTCCTCTCTCCATCCTTCTCCACTCTGTTTTGTGTCCTGACAGGCTGACTCTCACAGAGCCGGCCTCATTAGCCTGTTGGAGCCTTTGAGAGTTAATTAGGTGACCCTCTCTTTAACTTGGTGTCTGGTGAGCATCATAAGATCAGTTACACAACAGAAATTCACATATGCTAAATAAGTGCCTCTCCCCTCCCCTCCTACAACATCAGAGATTATGATGTTGACCACTGGAAGGTACATATCAGAGCTGAAGAGTGCTTAGAGAATGTGGTCAAAATATCTGTTTTCCTTCTTCCTCCCTGACACGCTCCTACAGAGGGGCCTCATTCTTCTTTAAAGGCTTCCATGGCTGCTAGGCACCCTTGCTGTCATCCTGTCCTCCCTGGACGTCTGATGTCCTCCCTGTTTCCTTCTTTGGGTCTACAGACCCAATGTATACTGTTCTTCTGTGGGTACCTTAGGCACTACCCATGTTAGTACTCCTTGACTAACAACCCGATGGCCCCCTTCAGTGGGAACTGCTTACTTCCTTTATGACCCGGTACATAGACCAAACCGCAGTGGCTATCAGTTGGTTGGGATCTCCTGATACCATGTGTGTCTTTATAGCCTTTCTTGTTTTCTTTTCTTTTGTTGTTGTTGTTTAATGCAACCTCATCTAAAAGCATAACATACACATTAGATAAAAGGAAAGGCTCCTGACTTAAGTTATAGGAGGTAAAGTGCTGATTGCCTCATTTTCCATAGTTGCCAGAGATACACTCCCTTGCAGGCCCTGAGCATTCAAGCAGTGTGATCTAAACACTGTATTCTCAGAATACAGAGACAACAGCCTGTGATTTTAAGCATCAAAGTAAAGTAGTAAAGGCACTTCTTTTCATGTTTTTATGCATGTGTATGGTGTGTGTGTGTGTGTGTGTGTGTGTGTGTGGGTGTGTGTGTGTGTGTGTGTGTGTGTGTGTATGTGTGTGTAGGCCTGAAGTTGAGGGCAGGCCATCTTCCTTGACCACTCTCCACCTTATATATGAAGACAAAGTCTAGCCAGCTTCCCCCAGGGGATCCCCTGTCTTTGTTCCCTGACTCTGCTGGAACCACAGATGAACCACTTTGCTTGTGTGGCTTTTATGTGGTTTCTGGGGATCAAAACTCCTGTCCTCCTTTCTGCTCCTGCAGAAAATGCTTACCTGCTGAGCTATCTTCCCTGTCCCTGGAGACACTGCTTCAAGATGCCATTCACAAAGGGCAGTTGATGCTCTGGCTCTGTGAGTTCTGCATCTGTGCATTCAATAAACAGTGGACTGAAAATGGTTTGGAGATGAAATCATGCCTGACATGAGCCTATCTCCAGCAGCAATGGAAAATGAGGAGGCTGGTGGGCAGTCAAGCTTTTTACCTCTTACAACTTAAGTCAGGAGCCTTCTGAAAAATTGAATGCATATATTAAGTTTCTAGATAAGATTGGGTTTCAAAAAACAACAAAATAAGACATGCAAGACCATAAAGAGACACAGGACACTAGCAGATCCCAACCAACTGATATGTACAGATATTTTCTTTGTTATAATTTCCTAAGCAATCCTGTATAACAATTATTCCCATGAAGTATTTACATTATATTAGATCTTATTAGTCATTCAGACATAATTTATTAACAAAATATGCAGGAGGGTGTGTGATAGCTGATTTTTGTTTTGTCTTTCTTCTTTCTTTCTAAACATAAAGCCTAGGGCATCTGGGGCTGGTGAGTTGGCTCATCACTTATGAGTACTTCCTATAGAGGTCTATGTTTAGTTCCCAGAAATCACCTGTAACTCTAGCCTCAAGGGATCCAGTGCCCACTTCTGATTCACACAGGCACCTGCACACATATACAGACACGTACATACACATACATAAAAAAAAATCTTTAAAAAGAAAATTTTAAATGAGGGGAGACAGACTTGAGCACCTATAGTTTACTATCTTTGGGGATCATGGAACCGATGGAATCCATGGATATCAAGAACCAACTGTGTACCAGGCCCTGTTTTAACTGCTTCTCATGACTTAGCTCACAACTTCCTTGGGGGAACGAACCCCTTTGTCACTTTGGCAAAATCTTTGACCTCTCTCTGAAATGAGGCCTTTCAACGCACAAACAATAACAGAATTACAAAAAGAAAGCCACGCACAAAAAGGTGGCTAAAGCACAAATCCCATTAGTTATATGTTTACTTCGTTATCAGCATGTTAAATTACCAGATGTCACAGCCAGGCTAACGCATGCTATATTTAAAGTAATGATGTCACGTGTCAATTTAGGACATCTGCAGCAACTGTAAGTGCTGCAGAAACGTCATCGTAGGACAGCTAAGACTGTGGGCTTAATTTACTTCTATTTCTGCCTATATACACACAAAAGACGGTGCTGGATTTGAGAGAGTGCAGATGAAGATGCCATTTCTGTCATTCAAGTTCACATACTTCATTTCTGTTAGTCACGGCTTGTCCCTCAGCTCCCTACCCACCTGTGGCTGAACTGTTTTTAAAAGGTCAGCACTTTACATCTCTTTTCTCACAGATAATCCCCTCATATGCAGACATTAGCCACTGAACAGACCAATGGCTGAGAGGCTGGAAAAAGAGAAGAGTGGTGTTGGCTGGTTTTACGTCAACTTGACACAAGCTAAAGTCATCTGAGAGGAGGGAACCTCAATAAAGAAAATGCCTCCGTAAGATGGACTGTGGGCAAGCCTGTAAGGCATTTTTAAATTTATTAATTGATATGGGAGGGCCCAGCCCACTGTGAATGGTGCTGTCCCTGACTGGTGGTCCTGGGTTCTATAGGAAAGCAGGCTGAGCAGGCCACCAAGAGAATCAGCTCCTGCCTCCAAGTTCCTGCCTCCAGGTTCCTGCCCTGACTTTCTTCAGTGACAGTGATGTGGAAGCTTAAGTCAAATAAACCCTTTCCACTCCAAGTTTTTGGTTGTGTTGTTTCATCACAGCAATAGTAACCCTGATTAGGACAAGAGCAATCTGTTTTCCTCACTGTCGGTGTAGGTGTCATGCAAACAGTGATATTCCATCTACCTGGCATTGGATGGCGGCTGTTCCCACACTTCCAGACCTAGTCTCATGGTGTTTCCCCAGACACACTGGGTTCCCCACTGCTGGGCACTGTCCTCTTGGCTACCACAAAAAGGCATCAAGAGTTTGGTGGCTTAAAATAGCAGACCTGTGGGACTGGGGAGATGGCTCAGTGGATCGAGTGACTGCCCCATGATCTCATCACCTGTGGGAGGCAGAGACAAGGGATTCCCCAGAGCAAGCTGGGTAGCCAGACTAGCTGAAGTGGTGAGCTCTGAGTTCACTTGTAGCTCTAGTATATGGAGTTGGATGCAGTTCCCAGACCACAAATGGCCAACTCAAAACCTTTAATTCCAATTCCCGGGGGAATCTGACGCCCTCTTCTGGCCTGTTCAGGCACTGCATGCATGTGGTCCACATATACGCAGGCAAAACACACATAAACACGAAATATAAATCACGTATCTTTTCAAAAGACATCTACTTATCTTTTTAAAGGTGGGGGTACAATTCATTTATAAAGACCTTCTTTCAAGGCCTAGTTGCTAGTCCTTTGGAAATCTCCAAGTTTCACTCTTTCCCCTCAGCCCCCAGTCCAAAGATCTTTGCTCTCCTGCCCTGGATTAGAAGTTGCCCCAGCAGATAGTGTTTTTGGCATTACTTTGTGCTTCCCTTTGGTCAATCGGTTTTCCAAGCCTGCTAATCAATTTGCCGTCTGGAGATGTGATTGGTGCCTAAAAAAGGAGAAAGAAGAGATGTAAGCACTAGTGTTCGTTGCTTCCTAACCGTGGACACGATGTGACCAGCTGCCTCACCTTCCAGCTGCTGTTCCTTCTCCACCATGCTTGACCTCGCCTTAAACTGTGCGCCAAAAACAAGCCCTCCCTTCCTTACGTCGCCTTTGTCGGGTATTTGATCAGAATGGTTCTACTGCATTCCAGGCAGGTGACTTGGGCCTCTTATTTCCTTATCTGTAGAGTGGGGATAACAAGGGCACCTGCCTGGGCACGTGCCTGGCCACCTATGGTCTAGATCCAGTGAGATGCTGCGAAAGTGTGTGTGTGTGTGTGTGTGTGTGTGTGTGTGTGTGTGTGTGTGTGTGTGTGTGTGTGTGTTAGAGGTGGTGGTGGGGAGCAGTTGTCCTCTAGATCATTAATGCCGGACTCTCCATTGCATTAATTACAATATAGAAAGGGCTCAGGTTTCAAGGGCTGCGAAGGCTTGGCCCCTGCCGACCGGAAATCTAATACACCGCACAGAGATAACCGGCAGCTGCCAGAAAGTAGTCCTGGAAGTGCTAGGAGGGGTGGGGGTAGCAGGGAAATGGTTGGACGTTTCATTACACAGACACTGACATCAGGCGGACTTCCCCCCACCCCCCACCTCCAAATAGGCAGAAGCGGTGACAATAGGGACTTTCAGTCCGGTTTTTGTGCCTGTGATATGAGCGCAGAGCCTCGGGAGGTAAAGAAGCCAGCTCTACCAGCAAGTCAGCCAACCACATTTCTTTCTAACAATGCCAGCTTTAGATTCACAAGCTCCGAATCTTCTTCCTGTGGAAGTCACTACCCAAGCCCTTAAACCCTTGAGATGGCGGGCTAAAGGCGCGGGTATCCATTTGGTGCTTGCAGCAGCGAAGGAGGGAGAGGGCAGTGCAGTGATTGGCCAGGAAGTGGGCGGAGCCTCTGCGTGACTGAATGTGATCAGCCCCCGCAGAAGTCCCAGCTGACCGCAGGGAGGGAGGAGGGGCCTGCGGCAGCCCCACTGGGCGGTGAGCCCAGGGACACTTAGAAGATCGCAAGAGATTTTAATTTCTTGGTTAGGGGTTGGTGACATCGCCCTGCCTTATCACAGTGATTTCTTGACGGAGCTTGCAGCTGTCTGAACCTTCCAACGCGCTACTTGTAATAGGTCGTTAAAGTTAAATGAAAAAAAAGTAAAGAATTAGCCAATTATTCAATAAATGCAGCTGTTGCTAGCAGGCCACACTAGTCAGCCCTGCTGTGTCATCCCTGGAGGGTTGAGTCAGCCCTGCCTCAAACCTGAACCGGAGGACCCCGACCTGTACGAGGCTCTCTAGCTCCACCGTCTGGCAGGGGAGCGCAATGAATTTTGCGGCGGAGAAGCTGGGAGATTGGGTTAGGGTCGTGCTCCCGCAGGACTTCAGGCACGCCCTTGGCCAGAACCCAGGCGCCTCCTAGGCTCTCTTCACTTCCTGCCTCCTTGACTCTCAAGAGGGGCGGAGCTGCTTTCTTGAAGGCAATTGGAACTTGAGCATTTTTGTCTCAATAAAGGGGAGGCTTACTGGCATTTAGTGGCGCTTGCCCGCCATGTTGGGCATCCTGTAGGATAGTCCTGGACCACAAGGGATTGTCTTAGGAGACTTTCAGATGTCCTGCTGGTGAATGTTTTGCATTTAATTCTCAGAACTAGGATCAGCTAGCTCTATTCTAGATATAAACATAAAGGAGCTTTTGCAAGTCCCTCTTCTTTTCTTCCCACCATTCTTCCTTCCCTCCCTTTCTTCTGGGACAGACTCTTGATATGTAGTCTAGAGTTAGGACCAGCTCCATTTTATTTATAAACGAGTTTTTCATTTGTTTGGTTTTGTTTTTGGAGACAGGGTTTCTCTGTGTAGCCCTAGCTGTCCTGGATCTAGTTCTGTAGACCAGGCTGGACTCGAACTCACAGAGATTCACCTGCCTCAACCTCCTGAGTGCTAGGATTAAAGGCGTGCGCCACCGCTGCCTGACTATAAAGGAAGGTTTTTGCAAGGCCTTTCTTTCCTTCCTTCCCTCGGGCTCTTGCTATTGGAGCCCATGCTGGCTGTGAGTTTGTAATCCCCCTGCTTCAGTCTCTTCCCAAGAACTGGGATTGCATTCACCACCCTGGCCAGATGTAGTTTTTACTGGAAGAAAAATCTATATAATAGCCCGGTCCCATTTGAATCATTTCTAAGTGAACAGCAGCAGTGGCTTTAATTGCATTCAGAATGTTGTGCAACCACCGTCACCGACAATTTCCAAATCTTGTCCATGGCTCCAAACAGAGCTGGTGTAGCCAGTGAGCAGGAACTCCCATCCCACCTTCTCTAGCCATGGTTTCCTCTGATATACTTTCTGTTTCTGAGCTTGTGTGTTCTAGGTATTTCAGGTGAGTGGAAGCAGACAGCATTTGGTCTTTGTTTTGTTGACAGCTTATGGGAAGGTTGCCATCACCATATATAGCCCCACACCTGATTGTTGAGTCATCATAAGCCACAAATGCTTCAGTCTGCGCTTGTAACTGCCTCAAGCAATGTGGCTGCAAGCATTTGACAGTATATTTTGTTATATTACTGTGTCCCAACATTCACATGACCAAATATGTATTATTTTGTATATTTCACATTCTTTCTTTCTTGTTCTGCAAAGTATATGTAGATACCATATAGATTTAACTTTAGTGAAGACACATTACAAAAGAGACACTGGGTGTGATGTGTCTGAGATTTTCAGGCATTTCTTTCCTATAATCACAGACAACCAGTCCTGGCACTGGGGGATATCTCTACAAATAAAATGCTATTAACAACCTGCAAATCCTGCTTTGTCTTTGGAAACCTACATGGCCAGTCCACATTCCTCAAGCAGTAAATCTTCAAACCACTGCCTCTGTTGACTTTTTGGTCACTCCTTGACTGTTGTGTTCTGGGAATCCTTATTTATTTTTTTTTGTGTCTTCAATGCTGGGCACTGCTGTTAGTACCACTCCTGGCTCACAATGGACAAAGGCATTAAAAACAATTGAGAGGGGATTCTTTATTTTTCAGTATCTTTCTTTTAAAAGTGGTGTGTGTGTGTGTGTGTGTGTGTGTGTGTGTGTGTGTGAGAGAGAGAGACAGAGACAGAGACAGAGAGAGAGAGAGAGAGAGAGAAACAGAGGGGGGCACAGGACTCTGGAACTGGAATTAAAGGCGTTTGTGAGCTGCCATGTGACATGTGAGAGCTGAAAATTGAACTCGGATCCTCTGCAAGAGCAGTATGTGCTCTTAACCACTGAGCCATCTCTCCAGCCTGAGAAAGGATCCTTTGTAGATCCAGAATTGAAGCCACCCACCTGAAGAGACGACAGATAGACAGACAATGTGTGTACACATGATTGCGTGCACACACACACACATTCATGAGTAGAAAAGGCTTTGTACTGTTCCCCTGCAGAGAACTCTCCCCTCATGAAGACCACAGTCCCATCCTTGCAGTGCTCTAGCTGAACCCAGCACTTGAAAGTGTTCCGAAAATGCTCTCTGTTGAACTAAACACCTTGAAGCTGTGTTTTCAGCAGTCTGTGAAATAATGGATTCCAGCACGAGCCCCCGCCCCAATCCCCCAACCACCGGCATCTCATAAATGGGAACCTGGAATTTCACCATATCCGTCTTCTTGCTTCGTTTTAAAATGTATCTGGTGGAGAGCACTCAAATATTGATTTTCTTTTCTGCATGAAAAGGCAGGAAGTGTTACATATATTGTTTTCTAGCCAGCCACCTCTATTATTCCTGCTTCCTTGGCCTCTGAGTCTTTCTTGAGAGTGTATGATCCCACAAGTGTTTAAATGAGCTCCAATTTGATTGCTAAAATCAAATGCCACTTCTTGACTTCACAGTGGTGTGAAGGGATTTGCTGTGCAACCATCTAGCTTTTCTCTTCCTGCAGAGTATTCAATAAGTTATGTGAGATGTTCAACCCTCTACTAGAAACGAGGATTGGCATGGAAGGACGTGGCTTGTTTGAAGGCCAGTGTGAGTTTTCTGAGAATGGTTACAGTAGACGAATTACATTTTGGATCTAGAATAATTCTGGAAGATCCTGTGTTGAAGCTTTTGTTTCTAACCTGTGACATTACTGGTAGGTAGTGAACTGATTAGTAGGTGGAACCTAATGAAAGGGGGTTAGGTCATAGGAGTCATGCCCTCAAAGAGGGCCTGGATTGTGTTGGAGACCCCAAGATGATGTTAGAGATGCCAAAACTTTGGGATACCTGCCCAGGAGAGCTGCACACAGAAAGTGGAACCAGCCCAAGAGAGAAATGTGTTTAGTCAGCAAAGCTGGAAGGGTGGAGCCCTTTAACGTCAGACAGGGAGCTACAGGAACTGAAGTTTGCCCTGCTGGGTTTCAGTCTTGCCTTTGTTCAGTATTTCCTCACAACACCTCTACGGCTTCCTTTTGGAATTGTAATGCATATTCTATGCATGGTATGCTGGAAGTATGTAATTGGATTTGGATTTTTAACAGGGACTACAGCTATAAGACTGCCTTGAGTCTCAGAAGAAACTTGGGGCTTTTAAACAGTCTTGAGACCGACAGATTATGGGGACTTTTGAATTTGGACAAAATGCATTTTGCATTATTATATTGCCATGAGCCTATGGAGGCTGGGGGTGGAATGTGGTGGCTTGAATGAGAATAACTCCCAAAGGGTCATATATTTGAATACTTGGTCCCTGTTGATGGAGCTGTTTGGGAAGGCTTAGGAGGTGTGCCCTTGTGGAGGAGGTGTGCCACTGGGGACACACTTTCTGAATCAAGATTTGAGCTCTCAGCTGGGAAGTTCCTGCTTCCCTGCCCTTGCTCCATCATCATGGACTCTAACCCTCTGATACTATAAGCCTAGTTGAACATGTTCTTTAATAAATTGCCTTGGTCATGTTGTTTTGCCATCACAATTGAAAATAACTAATACAGAGGGGGAAATGATTGGCTGGCTGGCTCTGCATCAACTTGACACAAGCTAGAGTCATCAGAGAGGAGGGAGCCTCAGTTGAGAAAATGGCTCCTCAAGATGGGGCTGTAGGCAAGCCTATAGCATTTTCTTAATTGGTGATTAATGGAGAAGAGCACAGCTCATTATGAGTGAGGTCATCCCTGGGCTGCTCATTCTGGGTTCTATAAGAAAGCAGGCTGAGCAAGCCATAAGGATCAAGCCATAAGGATCAAGCCATAAGGATCAAGCCAGTAAGCAGCACCCTTCCATGGCCTCTGCATCTGCTCCTGCCTCCAGGTTCCTTCCCTGTTTGAGTTCCTGACTTGACTTCCTTCAATAATAAACTACAATGTGGAAGTACAAGCCAAAATGCAAACCCTTTCTTCCCCAGCTTGCTTTTTAAATTATTTTTTCATGGTATTTCATCACAGCAATAGTAACGCTAACTAAGACAGGATTTATTTCAGCTTATTTCATCACTGATGGAAGTTAAGACAGAAACTCAACAAGGTGCCTGAAATAGAAAGTATGGAGAAAACATTGTTTGGGGGCTCACTCACAGGCTCATATTTAACTAGCTTTCTTGTATTGCTCAGGACAACCTGCCCAGGGAAAGGGGCTGCCTACAGCGGGCTAGGCCATTTCTTTATTTTTTTTAAAAAAATCCAGACAATCCCCACAGACATGTCCTCAAGCCAGTTTAATCTGAGCAACCATTCAATCGAGGTTCCATTCTTAGGAGACTCTAGGCTGTATCAACTTGACAGCTAAAATTATAAAGGCCAAAGGGAAGATGCTTTAGAATCTTTTAGAGTCATACCCTGCAACCATGCTCAACCTTCAGCAGCTAGTATTTACTCTCAAACTCCTGCTCTTTATGTTACTGTTGTAATCAAGGCAAACCTGGCCCTGCCTCTCACCCAGGTGTATCCAGGTGTACGCACCCTGGATCTTTAAAAGAAAGACTCCAACCTGTTAGACCCCCGGAAAACTCAGGTATCCAGGGTCCCAGGCCACGACCTTGGTCACCCCAATCACCAGGCGGATACGAGAGCTTGATGCAAACTGCATGAGGCTTTATTGTAATTTAATGAGCTAACCCCATGGGAGCCCAGGTCTTCCCCCCCCCCGCCATGGCGGATGGCTAGCAAAGACAGCTCGAACCCGCTGCGTACAGATCTTTATAGGACAGCGTAAGAGTAGTGTCTAGGGGTATGCACAGGCTCATGATTGGTGTGCCTCCAGGCTTGGAGGGCTTGCCCTGTGTTGATTGGTCAACTGGTTGTTATGGCCCATAGGCCCTCCCAGGGTGGTTGCTATGCTTTGTGCGTCATTGCTGTGCTCTTGTCCATAAAGTACACCCAGGGTCGTAAAGCATAGTGCCACCAGCTAGCTTC